AGAGTCTGCTTGAGAGTCTGTTACTCTCTCTATTCCCACATGTGCATGCTCTCCCTCCCTTTCTCTCATAATCAATAAATAAGCATTAAAAAAAGTTATAACTCAATTTTATCTTTATTGTTGTTTTTTCTTATTGTAAAAAAAAAAGTGAGACTTCTGGTCAAGATGACTGAAACATCACATTTTGACGTTCCTCCTTAGTGTCAAACACATAGCAACAATATAGAAAATTTTAAAATACACAACTGAAAATACAAAAGCGAATTCAAAAACAAGATAGACATCTTCCCAGACAAGAAACCGACAAAACTGCAAAGCATCAAGAGCTAAGACTGCAGGCCTGCAAAGACCTAGGTCTAAAAACAGGGATGCTCAGCAACTATAAGGGAATTTAAACTAGTCATTCAAGTATACATGTGATATCTCTATCATTTATCTACCTATCTACCCACAGAGAAAAAGAGAGACTGTCCTCTGGGATTCTGTCTTTTAGCAAACTGCCAGTCTACAAAGAACAGAGACAACCAAAGCATCATGAGCAGAACTGTACCAAGCAATCTTTTTAGCTCTGAATGGACCAAAGAATACCTTCAATATCACCATAGAACAGAACTGCCAAATATACATTATCCAAGATTCAGGTTTAGATGCTCTGAAGATCAGGTAGGGTTCTCATTAGTCAAGCAGACATGGGTTGCCTAATGATGAGCACAACAAGGAAAATGGAAGTGAGGGGAAAGAGAAAAAAAAAAAAAAACTAAAAATGAGGCTGCACAGCACAGTATCAGAACACATGGCAACACTGAGAAAGGAGCAAAGGAAATCAACAAGTGGAACATGAATCACTCTATATAAAATCATTTTTATGGAAAAATCTGACAAAAACTTTTAAGTAAATATTTGTGGGATGCTAGAAAACATTAGTGAAAGAATAAGTCGTCTTAAAGGAGAATCTATAAAGGAAAATCAGGCATAAATTATACAAAAATGATGCAAAAGATTCAAAATCCTGGGGAATAAAATATTCATTAAAATTTAAAATTCATCATAAATAAAAACTGAAAAAAAAAAAAAAGGTGGCCTGGGTGGCGCCATGAGTCGGTTAGCGTCCGACTTCAGCCAGGTCACACGGATCTCGCGGTCCGTAGCTCGAGCCCGCGTCAGGCTCTGCCGACTGTTGATGGCTGGAGCCTGGAGCCTGAGCCCTCCAGTTGTGTCTCCCTCTCTCTCTGGCCCTCCCTCGTTCATGCTCTGTCTCTCTCTGTCCCAAAAATAAATAAAAACTGAAAAAAAAAAAATTTAAAAAAAAAAATTTTAAATTCATCAAAATTCTGTCAATAGAATAAATAGTTCCTAGAGACTGCTGCAGAAAAAATTGGTGCCTAGGAAGAATACAGGACAGAGAAATTAAGAAAGTATTTTAAAGATGTGAAAGCAAGATTAAGAAATTTAGAGAACAGTTTAATTGTCTTCTGAAAAGTGTCTAACATAAATTCTAGAAGAAGAGATTTCAGAGGCTGTCAGAAAGCAATACAGTCGACCCTTGAACAACATGGGTCTCAACTGTGTGGGTCCACTTATATGCAGATATTTTTTTTATAAATACAGTACAGTACTATAAATGCTATTTCCTCTTCCTTATGATTTTCTTGATAACATTTTCTTTTCTCTAGCTTAGTTTAGTGTAAGAATACAGTATATAACATATATAACATATAAAACGTGTTAATTGGCTGTTCATGTTGGTTATTGGTCAGACTTGTGGTCAACAGAAGGCTATCGGCTAACTTTTAAAAGTTGTATGTGTATTTTCAAGTATGCAGGGCAGGGGTGGTCACCCCTAGCCCCTGTGTTGTTCAAGAGTTAACATACCTAACATGAAGATAGTTTACCTAGAGAGAAAGCATGAAATCTAGGAAAACAAAAATGTCAATAAATTATTTTTGTTTTTATATAAATAAAAACTGAATTTTTTTTATAAAACTGAATTTTTCTTTTAAGAGGTGAAATTTAAAATTATTGTATGTTCCATGTCCAAAATATGGAAAATACAAATAAGCAAAAGAGACCAATTAAAAATCATCTTCATTCTCAGCATGCACAGATAGCCACTGTTAATATTAGCGAGAGTAGATCAAGTATTATCTCTATGCATATTTTTTTATAAAAATGGTATATCACTCAAATTGTCTATCCTTTTTCTATTCTATACAAATATTTTTCTATGCCATTAGTTAATATTCTAACTCCTGTTTAAGAGCTGCATAGCATTCAATTATATAAAAGTACTTGATTGAACAATCCACTCTCCATTGTTTACATTTGTACAACCCTTCCCTTGGTTTTGGATACCCTGAACTTCCACTTTGAGCATGCTCTTCTAAAAATTTAAAAATAAATTATCTTGCCAAATCAGAATTTTCTGCCAAATTGTTTAGCCTATTAAAGACTGTAAATACAAAGAACAAGAATGTTACAGACACTGGAAAAATAGTTTCTTTCATCAAATTTTAGTTTTCAAGGTAATGCAACCTGAGTATTTGATTTTGAATCCCATTATAGGTAATATTAGTAGAAGTAGATGAACACTTCATCTTGACTGTGTAATTTATTTTCATAAAAATCTCTTTAGAGATCCCTGTCTAGTCAGCAAATAATTGCTTTAACTTTGGATTTTAATATTAGCACTGAATGATTTATGTACATTAAATAATGTGATTCTCACTAACCGTTTATGAACCAAGAATGATTATCTCCCTTCTGTGGATAATCACACTTTAGGGAAGAAAGGTTAAGTGGTTTGCCTAGGATCACTCAGCTAGTCAATGGATTATCTCAAAATATGATCCTTAAGTCTTTAAATCATTAGACTTGGCTGGCCTCAGCAATACTTGAGAGGCATATGGGATATGTATGCCTCAAATGATTTATGTGGCATAATGTCTAAATTTGTTTATAGAGCATTTTTTCATTGCCTATCATACAGTTTGGTCTGTAAGCAAAAATGAGATATTATAAAAATGAACATGAGAAGAATCTACATGTAGAAAAATATCTGGTGAAATTAGAGCATCAATTTCCAAAATGGTACATAAACCAAGCAGACAATAGAATCAACCATTTAGTGGAAGGGCCAGGGGAAGAAAAGAAGGAGGTAACAGAAAGTAAATAGGGTAGAGTAGCTTCCTTCTATAGCACTGAAGTTAATGGTTAGATTTTAACAAGCTCTGAATGAAACAAACAAAACGAGATCTTACTATGTCTTTTTTTTTTAACGTTTTATTTATTTTTGAGACAGAGAGAGACAGAGCATGAACGGGGGAGGGGCAGAGAGAGAGGGAGACACAGAATCGGAAGCAGGCTCCAGGCTCTGAGGCATCGGCCCAGAGCCCGACGCGGGGCTCGAACCCACGGACCGCGAGATCGTGACCTGAGCTGAAGTCAGCCGCTTAACCGACTGAGCCACCCAGGCGCCCCAGATCTTACTATGTCTTAATAAGGACATGTGCATTCCCTGAGAACTATTTCCTGCATTTCCAGAATAAAACATCTGTACAGGTCTACCTTCCCATTTCAACTATAATGACAAATGTGCTTCATATATCACCACAATTTACAATTCACACAAATGCGACACTCTAGAGGTTTTTTGTGGAATTTAAACATCTTCAACAGTGATCTGAGCAGAATTAGAAGTGTCCTTGGTAAACTGGAGCAGGGGCCCAAAAAGTAGTGTGATAATGTATTAAAAGGGCCATATCAGATTTGTATTTCTAGGTAAAGGGGAAGAGAAAACCAGCATGACCACTATCCCTTTCTGGAGCAAGGTGGTGAGGGTGGGGGGCGGGTGGGGGAAGGAAGTTCTGGTTTGCTTTTTCCATTCAACTTAGACCCCAAAATTGATTTTAAGAAAAATATTGATAAGTGTTTTAACTAATGATTTTTAATAAAACTGACTTTTTCTTTTAAAAGTGGAATTACCAACTGATCCTGATGTACGAGGCACTTACCTTGTTTTAGCACTGAGAAATCCTGCATCCTGGAAAATGTCTTAGTCATGTGCAAACTGGGGCAGTGGGTCAAAATTAAAAGTAAAAATTAGGTGTGTTCATTGTCTAAAATTTAGAAAATACAAAAAAGCAAAAGTGAGCATTAAGATCATACTTTCAGTATGCAGAAATAGCCACTGTTAATATTAGTAAATGAATTTCTGATTTCTCTATGGAATAGACTTAAAAAGACAAGTTACTATTATTACATGTTGCAAGTGACAGGGTACTATCATTTAAATTGTCTTTTAAAATTCTATTTAATTTTTTGCCAAGTACTTTAGTATGTGTACCTTTTTATCTGATTGTATCACTTTATAAACTGTGATAAATTTTCAATTGTGTATTGGTCATTTCTGCTATTCATTCTACAAATTCCCTTAACCTTATACTTTTCTTTATCTCTGAGACACAGTACCATGCCAGTACATTAGCAGCATGCTTTCTGAGTTCCGATAACTATATCACATTGTAATCTCACTGCTCAAGGGTATGCAGCCTTTCATTTCTTATTCCATTTCTATGTCCCCTGGAGGCCAGGGAGGGGAAATTTCTACCTAGGCAGGTTTGCATCATTTAACATTGCTGTTACTTGTCCAACAGTCTCCTACATGAATGAGACGATATGTCCACCACTGTTAGCACTTAAAATTTATTATTAGCTACTTATACAGAAAGCTCTTTTGGTTTTGTGGGGGTTTAACTTTCTGAAAGCATTTCAAGTCCTGATTTAGAGATAGAAAGAGAAGGAAAATAAAATTTCAGCGTAAGAAAAGAAATATATCTTTCATCTATCCTAAAATGTTCACACTTGGTTGAGGCCATATTTCAGTATTATTATGATCCAGAAAGTACCTCTCTCATTGAAGAAGTACTTACCATCCATGTGTGAAGGTACCCTGTTCTTGCCAGTAATACATGCAATAATGGCCTCTTCTGTTTTGTTTCTAGCTACACAATCCCTGTGGGCAGCTCTCAGAGTGTGTGTATGATTGAAGTGACTGCAGATGGAAAACCTCCAATACTGAAGAAAGACACAGAGATATCCCATGTGTCTCAGGTAGTTATGCAAATATCCAGCTCCAGACATTACTAAGTGTGCCCTCAATATTTCAAATAACTATTTATTTTTAAGTTAATAAATACACATCATATTTCTTTATTGAACATATTCCTTGTAAAAGCTCTCAACAAAACACCAGAATAGTCATCCCTGATACTTTAGGTACAATTAAATATATTTAATACTGCCTGTCGCTATAAAAGTTTTATTAAATTTAACAAAAAATTGATCTTCGTCTCACACTTTGCATATAATATGTTATGCTTGATGAAAAACACAGCACAGGAATGGGTAAAGATTAGCAAGATGCGGGGCACCTGGGTGGCTCAGTCGGTTAAGCGTCCAACTTCAGCTCAGGTCATGATCTCACTGTGAGTTCAAGCCCCGCATCCAGCTCTATGCTGACAGCTCAGAGCCTGGAGTCTGCTTCAGATTCTGTGTCCCCCTCTCTCTCTGCCCCTCCCCTGCTCATGCTCTGTCTCTCTCTGTCTCAAAAATAAATAAAAACATTTAAAAAAAAAGATTAGCAAGATACAAAACAGTAATTAAAAACGCATTTTATAGGCTATGGTAGTGCTTGTACTGTGCTGTTAAAAAGTCCCTTCTCAGAGAATTTTTCTTAGAAACATTGAATGAAGCAAAATTTAGAGAAGAGAGGATGGATGGTTGTCCTTCCAGAGACCAGGCAATTCGCTGAATTCTTTTAATTTTAATGATGTGGTTGGTTACATGCTTCTTAGTATGACTTTATAGAAATACATTTAAGATAAAGAATTCCTGGTTCATTTGATCATCATGGAGAGTTAATCTGTATAATTAGAGCTCCAAAGTGCTAATTTTAGTGCACTTTAAAGCTGGCAGTGTGGAGGGCCCTAATGAATTGGAAATTTCATTTTATTTCTATTTTTTTCTACGTAGTTTTTTTTTCCCATATTGAGCATATACAAGCATCTTAAAGAAGCACATAAGAATAGCTACATTTGCATGAGCACATTACATTTTTCAAATTATGGCTATATATTTTATCTCATTGGATCTTCACAAGAACTCTCCAAAGTAAGAATTATTATCTCTTTTACAAGATAGTATCTTATAAAACTGAGTATCAGATGTCCAAAATTTCATAGTGATAAGGAAAGAGACTTGATCCCAGATTTTCTGATTCCCACGCTTTGTTGTTGTTGTTGTTCCTTTTATAATACACTTAATTTCCTACTGCAACAGATTCAACACTGTCTAGTGGATTATGATGGTAAGAATAAAATTGGCTTTTGTTTTGAAGAAAAAAAGAGACAAACAAACAAACAAAAATAAACACAGACTCTTGAATACAAAGAACAACCTAGAGGTTGCCAGGAGGGGAGGCAGGTGAGTGAATGGATGAAACAGATAAAGGGGATTAAGAGTACACTTTTCATGATGAGCTCTGACTAGTGTACAGGATTGTTGGATCATTACATTTTACATTACATTACATTACATTACATTACATTACATTACATTATTTTTTTAATGTTTTTATTTATTTCTGAGAGAGAGACAGAGAGAGAGAGAGCACGAGCAGGGGAGGGGCAGAAAGAGAGGGAGACACAGAATCCGAAGCAGGCTCCAGGCTCCAAGCTGTCAGCACAGAGCCCAATGCAGGGCTCAAACTCACAAACCATGAGATCATGACCTGAACCGAAGTCAGCCAGTTAACCAACTGAGCCACCCAAGCACCCTATCTTTTCAATAAATACTCATTAGTGGAATTGCTGGATCATATGATACTTCCATTTTTAATTTTTTGAGGAACCTCCATACTGTTGTATATAGCAAGTGCACAATTTTACATTCCCACCCACAGTGCACGAAGGTTCCAGTTTCTTCACATCTTTTTCAACACTTGCTATATTCTGTTTTTTTATGACTACCCTAACAAATGTGAGATGGTTTTTAATTATGATTTTGATTTGCATTTCCCTGATGAGTAGTGATGTTAAACATCTTTATTACATATCTTTTGGTTATTTATATGTCTTTGGAGAAATGTCTATTCAAGTCTTGTGTCAGTTTTTTAACCACCCTATTTGTTTTCGCTTTGGAGGCATAGGAGTTTCTTATTTTTTTTTAATACTAACCCCATATCAGCTATGTGGTTTGCAAATTCTTTCTCTCATTCTATAGATTTCCTTTTCATTTCATTGATTGTTTCCTCTGCAGTGCAGAAGCTTTTTCATTTGACATAGTCCCCCTTGTCTTTTGTTGCTTTTGTTGCTTGTGATTTTGGTGCTATATCCAGGAAATCATTTGTTCTACAGTGTTGTTCAAGTCCTCTGTTTCCTTGTTATCTTCTCTCTGGATGTTCTAGCCATTATTGAAAAAGGGATATTAAAATCTCATACTATCATTGAGCTGCTATTTCTCTCTCTGGTTTTGTCAATGTTTGTTTCATATATTTGAGCGTTCTGATGTTGAATGCATACACATTTATAATTGTTATATCTTCCTGGTCAGTTGACCCAGATAATCATTATATAATTATCATTCTTTGTCTCTTATGACAAGTTGACTTGTCTATTTTGTCTGAAAACCTTTTCTTTTTTGGTTGCCATTTGCATGGAATATCTCTTTCCTTTCTTTCACTTTCAGCCTATATGTGTCCTTAAATCAAAAGTGAGTCTATTATAGACAGAATATGTCAGATATTGGTTTTTTTTTAATCTTTTTTTATCCACCCAGTCACTTTATGTTTTTTGATTGAGGGTTTGCATTTACATTTAAAGTAATTATTGATAAGTAATAAATTGCTATTTCCATTAATTATTTTGTCTTATAACTCTTTTGTCCCTGGTTTTCTCTCTTGCTCTCTTCCTTTGTGTTTCATTGATTTTTGTATGTGTGTGTGTGTGTGTGTGTGTGTGTGTGTGTGTGTGTGTGTGTGTATGAACCATACTTTGATGCCTTTCTCATTTTCTTTTTTGTATCTTATATGTATAGTTTCTTTGTGGTTATCATAGGGCTTACATACAACATCTTACAACTATAATAATGTATTTTAAGCTAATAGCATCTTAACTTCAGTTGCTTGATCTTCGAGCTCTAATCTATATATACACCATTCCCAAAAAGCTTTATATTTTCATATGCTTTCATGTTGCTGTTTAGTGCCTTTTCATTTCAATTTGAAGGACTCCCTTTAGCATTTCTTGTAAGGTAGATCTAGTATTGATAAGCTTCCTCGGCTTTTGTTTATCTGGTTTGTTTTCATTGTTTTTTAATGTTATTTTAGAGAGAGAGCACATGATCAGGGGAGAGGGGCAGAAAGGCAGAGAGAGAGAGAGAGAGAGGATCTCAAGCAGGCTCCATGCTCATCATGGAGCCAGATATGGGGCTTGATTCCGCAACCGTGGGATCATGGCCTGAGCTGAAATCAAGAGCTGGACACTCAACTGAATGAGCCATCCAGGTGCCCCTCTGCTTCATTTTTAAAGGACAGTTTTGCCAGATATAGTGTTCTTATTTGGCAGTTTGGGGTGGGGGGAGGGAGTTGAGCACTTTGTGTATATCATCCCACTCCCTCTGGCCTTGAATGTTTCTGGTAAGAAATCCATTGATAGTCCTATGGGCCTTCCTTTTATGTGACAAGTCACTTTTTTTTTCCTGCTTTCAGAATTCTCTGTCTTTGACTTTTGACAATTTGATTATGTGTCTTAGTGTAGACTTCTTTGAGTTCTTTCTTGTGGTAGTTTCTGGGCTTCTTAAATCTAGATGTCCATTTTTTACCCCAGATTTGGGAAATTTTCAATATCTTTTATTTTTTTTTAATTCAGCTATAAATTTTTGTCTTCATTCCAACTAAAAGAATCAAGTAGGAAAATGTTTGAATAAGTAAAGTTAAAATTCTCATGTTTATTAACAGTCATTATATCTTCAAGTAAGTATTCTGCCCCTCTCTTTCTTCTCCTTGTGAGACTCCCATAATGCACATATTGCTCTATTTGATAGCATCTTATACGACCCTTAGGCTTTCCTCACTCTTCTTCAATCTTTTTTTTTTTCCTTTTGCTCCTCTAACTGAATAATTTCAAAGAAACCTATCTTTGAGGTTTGAGTTTGAGTTTGCTGATTCTTTCCTTCTTCTTGATCAAGTCTTTTGATGAAACCCCTCTAATAAAGTTTTCAATTTAGTTTTGTATTTTCAGCTCCAAAATTTCTGCTTGATTCTTTACTATATTTTCTCTTTGTTGATGTTCTCATTTTCTTTATGCTTCATTTTCCTGAGCTCATTGAGCATCTTCATGACTGTGACTTTCATTCTTTCTCACGTACTTCCATTTCTTTAGGGCTGGTTGCTGGAGACCTCTTTTGTTCCTTTGATTTTTTTTCCCCATTTCTTCCTTTACATTGTAGAATTCGTGATGAGATCTACACTATAGAAAAAACAGACATCTCTCCCAGTCTTTATGGATTGGCTCTGTATAGGAAAAGATCTTCACCATTCAGCCTGAGAGTCTGGGAACCTCTCAAACCTGTGCATGTATCTTCTCTGGACTTGTGTGTGTAAATTCTCTATTATAGCAATTTGCCAGTTTCCTTTTCCAGGTACTCATAGTGTTTTGCTGTCTCTGGTGTCTGCAGTACTACAGGTTCTCTGGAGCTACCTACCACAAGCCACCCACTTCTCTTTTGTTCTCAGTAGCCCCAGAGTTTCTAGAGTACATGGGTCATGCAGAACTTCCAAGTCAGGCAAAATAGAAACCAGTCACTCAAGAAACCCATAAAAAAGCCATAATGTAAGAAACATGCTCCACTCTTCTTTACCCTGCCCTCCTGCTCTGGCCCCTATAAGAGACCACCAAATTATATCAGCCTCAGTCTACTGCATCAGTGGTCCTCTGGAGCAGCAACACAGCATCCGGCCGTCTTTTGTTTTCAGTGATGGCCAGGTCCCATCAAGACTGGGGAGACAAACTCATTCTTCACTCAGCCCCCTGAAAAGACATTATTTTGGGTGCACACTTCAACTCTTGCCACTGCTAGGGAGAAGTCAGGAGTTAAGGGGGTTTTGCCTACCCTTCCCACTGAGCTGCAGGGGACACCTACAGTGAGTGAATTCACGTTATTCCAACCTTTGCGTTTGGTCTCAGTAGTGCCACACCTGGCACACTTTCCTGTCAGCACATAGATTCAGACAAAACGGAAACTAGTCCCTTGGTCAGTCCCTGAAAAGTCTGCACATAGTATATATGTTTCATTCTTCTATTTCCCTCCCCAGAGAGAAACTAGGAGCTGGAAGTTTTCTTCTAGTTATACCTCACTGAGTCTGGGGGAGAGCTTTGGCCAGTGAGTGCCACAGATTTTCCTGTCATCCTCAATAACAGCTGGTTTCATACTCACCTGGGGTAAAACTGCTTCTTAACTCAGTCTACTCATTTCTCACAAAAGGCTTTGGTCTGTGTATTGTTGTTGAATTAGTGTCTCCCTAAAGAAGGAGTAGCTGGAGCTTTTTATTTTGCCATATTGCTGATCTGTATACTATATTTTCTAAATATTTCATTTATTTATGATTTCATTCCCAAGATTACATTAAATTTCCACTTAGACAAAAATAATCCATATCCTTTTCTTTTTTGTATCTCTACTTCCCTATATCACTGTGCTCACAGGGTAGCAACTCAGTTCATTGATTGCTTCACTGAAGTTTGGTTTTTTCTTTGACAAAGGGAGAAGATACTGTTTTGAGAACATTCTCTAGCCTGGAAAGCCTTAAGAATCAAAGATTTAACTGGAAAGTAAAGAACTAATGAGGATTTCATTGCTATTTATCAAATTAAAAAAAAAAAACTCTTTTTGTAAGCTATTTGACACTAATCTCATAAGAAATTGAAGAATTTCCATATAAGCACTATTGGGCACTCTATGCTATATATATTAAATATTGAAAGCTATATTAGAATTAAAGTGATATTAATATTCCTTCTTTGAGTGGTATCCAGTGAGGACCTCCTGGAGACTGAATCTAGTGAAACAGCAAGGTTATAAGGCAGCATAAAGTAGAAGAAGATGCCTAGAAATTAAACAGGAAACTGTAAAACACACACACACACACACACACACACACACACACACACACAAACCAGGATTGAGTGTCATAAATCGGGTCATTTGTAAAAACCTATAGTAAACCTCCTATTTATAAGACACTGTTATGGACTCTGAAGGAATCCCAAAATGACCATGTTAGAGGCCCTACCCGAAAGGGATTAAAATTAATATAGAAGAGACTGTATGGTCATAGATTATTATGGGGAGGAGAGAGAGAGAGAGTGAGTTAGATCTCTTCTAAGATAAATATTGGTTCTGCCTTTTGATCCCCTTTCATTAAATGCCTCTAAAGTTTTTAAAAATTTAAGATAAATCATATGTAAGAAGTAATTTAAATAAATCCTTCTTGCCAAACACCTTACACAGCATCTCTTATCCCATTCCAAGACTTGATGTTTCTGGTTTTGAATTTGTCTGCATTCAATTCAGATAATATTAAAAACAAAAATCTAGTAACAACACCCAAATAAAAGTCAGTGTTTCAATTATAAGTCATCACATTCTTGAGTAAAGACAAGTACACTCCAGTAGTTAATCTTAAGTAAAAACTACGTTAGTTACCTTCCTATTAACATAAAAGTTATTTAATTTAAGGTTTGAGGCTGTAAAACAAAACTAAACATTGAATCAAGATATCATTACAGAAATATATGTAGACTCCAAAGTCTAAATTTAAATTAAAACAGAATAAAGAAGAGATAAAAGAGCTTCTTACCCGTTTTCACCTCTGTAGTTTTTAGAAGTTTGTACCCTTTTGCCTGTCTTCTTATTTTATTCCTACACATTATAAAAGGGCAACTATATTCTTCCTTTAAAGAGAAAACTCTGGGAGGAAAGGGAATGCTTATTTCACTCTTATCATTTGTGGAGTCCTTTTCCCTCAGTCACCATTCATATTTTTCATTATCTTGATGATTCCTCCTTGATTATCCATGTCTGTTCTCTGTGGTTTTATCTTGTAAGATCATATCTTCATGTCAGACTCTATTCTCCATAGTCTGATTCACAAGAAGTTATTAGAAAAGACTTATTTTAAAGACCTGTCTCCTTAGAAATGATTATACACACAAAAGGCTGCTCCTGGATAATTAAGAGTCTGGGGATAGAGGAAGTCAACCATTTTAATGGTTATCTATGTTCAGTCAATGGCAGCAGCTTTTTCAGACATTTCAGGACTCCAACTAAGCTTGAGCCTCAGATCAGAAGAAATACAAGGGCCATCTACTTTCATTGTTTGGGTGTTTTTTAATGGTCTAATAAATCATAGATAGCTCTATAGACTTTCCCTCAGATCTGACTACTGCTGACAGAAGAGGAGGATATTCTTCCATCCTTTATCAGTTTTGTGCTAAAACAGCACACTTGTCAAAGCTGTGAGAGGTTTGCTGTTCCAGGTGTGTGATCAATACACAAAGATGTCAAAGATCCTTGGTGAGAGAAGGTCATGGCCTTGGATTCACTGATTCTACAGGTTCATGGTGGATCCCAGATTGCATTAGCAGTGAGTTACTTATCTTAAATTGATAAAAGAGTTTTTGCTAATAGTTTATTAGAGTAGTAATATAAATGGACTTAGCATATGAGAAAGGATGTGAAAACAAACAGAAATACTCCTGTACTGCAAGAGGGCCTATTATTACACCTTGAGTTTTCCACCCCACTATACCCGAAGATAGTCATCCTCTGGGTGACTGTATATCTGAATCTTTTATAAAGTACACACACACAAAATTAAGGAATGCTTTTAGAAGCAGAACTCGAGTCACTAAAAAAGAACAAGAGCTCAAATAATAGAGTTAGTTAGATCTATTATGGGTCATGGAGATGCTTTGATGTTCCTAGAATTGAACATGCTCTGTTCTCTAAAAGTGCATTTGCATCAAACCAGAGCATATTAATGTAAACATTAGGTGACATTACTGAGCATTTCCCATTCTCTCCTCCCCTTAGAGCCCTAACTTAATTATTTGGCTCTAGTTTCAGAATTCTTGCAATGATAGTTTTCCATTTTAGTGGATCTGTAATGTCAATCTGGATACTTTTCAGGTATCAGTTTGGAGTACATGAATGTATATTGGGGATAAGGACATCAGAGGCATAAACTGCACAAATGCTGCATGCACCTTTTGTATGCCAACAGCCCTGAAGATCAGGGTCTTGTTACCACTTCATCCAGAATTCACGTGTATTCATAAATTCCTGTTTGGGAAAGTTACTTTTTATATACATACAAATGATGAGAAGTCAATTTATATACGTTACTGAAGGGTGGGAAGAGAGATTAAGTAGCAGTTTACATCGTGCCAGTGATTTTATCATCATTCTGGTCGGCGAGTATAAGCTCTGTTTCCAAATAAGGTCGCATTCGGAGCTACTGAGGGTTAGAACTTCCACATAGGAATTTGGGGGAAACACAATTCAGTCTCTAACAATAGTGAATTAACAAGACTCTATTTTCCTTATCAGTTATTATTTGCTAATATTTACATTAAGATTCAAACACTTCAGTTCCAAAATACATTTCAGAGTAATCAATCAACAAGTTTTATTGAATGCCCTTTTTTAAAAAAAATTAAGATTTCATTATGTATTGTGAGAGCTACAAAAGAAATATAAAATAAGGGCCCTTTCCTAAGGTAACTTATCCTACCACCTACTAGAGGTGACAAAACTAAGCAACAATTACAACCTGTTTTACACAGAAAGATACATTAAAACATGCCTTACAGAACAAAACATTCTAGGTCTTTCTCGTATAATCTGGCAACACCTGATCAGATATTTTTGTTGTTATTTTTCTTATAGGTGCATTTTGAATCAATGTACCTTGGCCATATCCCAGAAGATGTTAAGATCCATAAGAATGCAGGTCACATTTATGGGTTCAATGGCTGCATTCAAGAGCTTCAAGTAAACAACAAAGAATTCTTCATCATTGATGAAGCACTACGTGGAAAGAACATCGAGAACTGCCATGTCCCATGGTGTGCTCGTCATCTATGCCACAACAATGGCACCTGCATCAGGTTAGTTCTAGCCTCTTGAACTCTAACCTATATTTCTTGACTCCATTCTTAAAACAACAAAAACCAGCAGCACTGTCATCTGGGTGATGGAAAGGTCTGGAACTTCCAATTTTGTGTATGCATCATCTAGGTGTTTCACGCATGTGGTGGATACTTGTTTGTTCAAAGAAAGTTGTGTATTGTGGTTCCAATGTCAAGAAATACTTGACCTCTGAAAGTAACTAGGTAACTGGACCTGATTTTGGCAATTTCAGATAGATTCAAGCATAATTTACCAAGGTGTTCTGCTTTTGGAATATATAAATGACAGATTTTTATTCATTGATAATGGTTTTGATGCATTAATTTTTATGGCATTTTTTTGCTTCATCTTCAAAAATATAAAAGATCAACTCAGATCTCTAAGATTGAAGATGGAGAAGAATACTTATATCTGTTTCTTCTTTTTATTTGCAATCTGTATGTCAAGGAGGAAAAAGCCTATATACCTTATTTCCCTTGAAATAAAGATTCATCCTGCTCTTATAAGATTAAAAAGATTTTAATTACAATTACTTTCTGCTCCACTAAAATTCTTAAGTGAATCAACCCTGAGGGAGTCTCATTTGGACAGTGTAGAACATATTCCCAAATTTCTTTAATCCTCTGAGAAATCTTTATTTCAGGGCTACAAATAATGACAGAGAGGATGGTAAAGCATGTACAGATTATATTAATGAAAGTCAAGGAAAAATTGACCAAATCTCACAGGAAATATCTTAATTAATTCACCTCAGTGTTTCTAAGGGGCAAGGTATCAAGTAGGTAATGACTCCACAAAAGTAAACATCTGTATGCATAGTGTGGGAAAGAGAAAAAAATTTATCGCAAGAGTAGATAGGAATGGTAGCAGAGATGGGCTCTGAAAATAATCAGTGGGAAAGGAAATGAAAAACAACATAGAACCACAGGCCAAAGACAGGAACAGAGGAATGGGCAGGTATGATAAAGTCAAGGTGATATATTTACCGAACAATCACACTCTGACCTAATATTTGAGGAGAAAGCATAGTTTAGTGGAAAAAGGATATCAACTCTTGGGGTGACTAAACCCTTTGCTTCTGATTAGCTCTGCCCAAGTGTGTGCCTTGATTTACACATTTGTAAAATGACACCAGCAATTAGGACTTAATTCATATAAGAAAAACATAACAGATGAAGTTTCAAAGGACTTGAAAAGAGTGAATTTTGAGTTTGAGTGAAGCTAACTTCCTTGGTCGTGGTTATTTTTCTGAAAGAAACAAAACTAAGGTCTTATTTGATAAGTAGTCTGCTTTATAGTGAACCCGCTAATAGCAATTATTTTTAAACATATAATAATGCAAAAATTATACAGTAAGATAACCTTCAGGACCCTGAAGGAAAATTAACTGTTGTGTAACTAAGTGAAATAGAAACAGGAAAACAGCTTTTCCTACTGACTTACTAATGTCTGAAATATTTGTGTCATTCAACCTAAGTTAAATATTGTCAATGAGGCTTTACCACTGACAGAATTATAAAAGTGACAAGAATTGTGTTTCCTCTCTTTCTATATATGATGAACAGATTCTAACATAGACCCCATTATCCCTCTCCCAGTGTTCATGCCTTTGTATGATTCCCTCTCCTTTAGTGTAGGATCTATGATTTGCTTTGAACCAACAGAATTGGTGAAACCAATTGGTGAACCAACAGAAGGTGGTGAAACGTCAATTATGTCATTAGGTTACATAAGATTGTAGCTGCATCTTGCAAGGAGACCCTCTCTGTCTTGCTGACTTTGATAAAGCATGAAGCATTTTGGAGAAGGTCCATGTGACAGGGCACTGAGAATAGCCTCCAGCAAACAACCAGTAAGGTGGCCTCTAGCTGACAGCCAGAAAATATTGAAGCCCTCAGTTCTACAATTGCAAGAAACTAAATTTTACCAACAACCACTTCAGCTTGGGAGCAGGTCCTTCCCAGTTGAACCTTGAATAAGATCCCAACCTGACCAACACCTTGACTGAAGCTTAGGGGCCTCTTATACAGAGGACCAGTTAAGCCTTTCCTTAAACCCTTGACCCACAGAAAAAATAAGATAATAAATGTGTTTTAAGTTGTTAATTCTGTGGTAATTTTGCCATACAGCAATAGAAAACAATTATACTCTAATTTTCTACAGAAGTGTCCGCATCACCAACTCGGAGAATAGGTAAGAGTTAGTTTTACTTTGTAACAATAACTGTCAGAGATACTGTAAGCCAAATACATGCTAAATAAAATAAATCTCTTATTTTCATAAACTAGAGAACCTCACATGACTTCCAATTTTAGTTATTTAATATGTATTTGAAAAAAAAGTAAAAATAATTATTCTAGTAGGATAGATATAAATAGTCCTAGGTTCATTCTCTTAGATTTATTTCAGCAAACATTGCCTGAAGGCCAACTGAGGGAAAGTGCTATGTGAAACGAAGATGTATGTTTAAGACACTATCCTGCACACAAGCAGCTTTCAGTTTAGTATGGAAGCTTTATCAGCACTTAAGGCCTTAGAGTGAATTTCCCCCCCACACACACACACACACAAAAGTATCTGTTTTCCATCATATACATTATTCTGGCTTTCCATATCAATTTCTCAGTCTTTCAACCTCTCAACCCCTACTCCAGAGAAATCCACTCAAATGACAGCTGATTTTGGCAAGCACTATTTAAGGTCTTCCAGATCTGTATGTGCCTTTTAATTTTAGTGAAATGGAGACTAGCTGGCTGTAACCCCAAATAAAACACTCTTCACATCCTCTGAACAACATGATTGCTATCTTGATTACCAATGCTGAACTGCCAAAACTACTCTTTGCGTTATTGCATCTAGGACATGCTGGTCCATGGCAACTACAACTTCCAATCCAGCATCTCCTTATGCACACCAACACCATAATACACTGGAGTTGGCTAATTTCAGAACAACAACAAAAATAGACTTCTCAGAAGGATCATAAGAACAGCCCCTTGGAGGTCAAAAGTTTAATCCAAGAAGAGCACAGATAGCTATAGGGCTACAGGGAAGATTATCAGAATAAGAATGGTATGTTTACTCTTTCCTGTTTTGTCTAAAATACCAATAGTAAACCATAATAGGGCATTCCAGCAGTCTGTGTAGCAACTCATAAGGAGAACCAGAATATGTACTGAAGGAGGACTCCCAGTGAGGCCATGAGCAGCTTCAGTCCATAGAGAAGAACACAGAACAAAGAAATGTCATAAAGAATCCTCACCATGACCAACACACTGCCCCCAGCAACGCATACCCATACTTGGAATACATGGAATGGTATAAAGTTTTCCAACCAAGGAACCTAGAGAAACTCTGCTACTGAGCCCTATCTTGACTTGGACAAAATGGACCTGAACTGGCTTAATGCTTTTGGCAACTCAGTTCCCATCTGTGTTGTTGGCAAAAGCCAAAGATTATTTTCCTGTCCGTGTTGTCGCATCATAAAAAGGATCTCTCCAGGACCTTCCAGACTGTCTTCCAACCCTTGTCACCTTTTGGGTCTGTCAGTGCTATCTGACTTGATGTCACTCCTGAGCCTGCCTACCCAGGCAGACTTATAAACTCTCCTCTCCTTTTCTCCTGTTTTTTTGTTTGTTTTTGCTTTTTATATATGCAAACAGATATATTCTGGAGGAGAATGTAAAATCAACATGCATTTGAAAACATGAAACTTCAATAATTAAATACTTGTCAAGGGCTGGAAGGATGAGATACTTTGACCCCTAAGGAGTAGGGGCTCATTTTGGATTATTCTAATGGGAAAAAGCTGAATAATTAGAATATTTCATGGCGGTTTGCCTTCTGAAACTATGAGGGTCCTCATGAGTCTGGTTTTGCTTTCCATGGCTTCCTGGCACTAGCAACTATTCTTAGAAATGAAATGCATATTATTCTTATGGATTGGCAATATCAGTGTTTTAGCAAATCAAAACACAAATGTTATGTTTGCAATGATTTCTAATTAGGGCACTATAAATAGCTGGAGTATAAAATAGTCAACCTGGGAAGGAGAGCCATCCACGATCCTCTGTCTTGCTGAGTAACTGGGAGAAATGAGACAACCAGGGAAATCTCAGATTTTCAGAATCCTCAGAAATTATTGAACCTTATACCTCATTTACAATGTCCTTCACTCTGTCCTTGTTTCACTCCTGTCTTTTTGATATGTCTTTGTTTTTTCATGTTTATCACACTGTAGTTAGTTAAAAATCCAGTTTGAACTGCCCTCAGCAAATCCTTTTAGTAAACTGACATGAAGAAGTCACTTCAAATCCTGGCTTAGTTGCTTAATAATTATGTGAACTTGGGCAAGTTTGCTAATCTTTTGGAACCCCATTAACTGAGCTAGAAAGTAGAGATGCTTTCTGTATCAGGTAGGAATCCTTCTGTTACAAATTCTGGGAAACTCATCCCAAACAGAATTTACTGGTTCACACTAAGTGGAAGGCTGTGGATTCCCATTTTAGGTATCTTTTGATTCATGACTTAAAGGCCACCCTAGGGCCCAGTTTCTTCTGCTCCCTTTGGACACTTCAGTTTTAACTCCATTCTCAGATTTCAAATATAGCAAAATGGCTATAGGTGCTCCATCACCTACACCCCTCAGGTTTTCTCTCTTCTATTTTCCCAGAAGAGGAGATTGGATTCAAGACAGCTTTCAAAATAGCAGAGCAATTTCAATAAGGTATATCAATATTTAGCCTTTCTGGATTGAAAAGGAATAGACAGAGTGACCTGATAGAATTCTTTTTTGGTCTACAAGTTTATTTTACTTCCAAAGTAACAGACCCTGTATGTTCAGAAAGAAAGAGTCATTATTACAAGGTCAAGAAGAAAGCTTTTTTACCTCTCAGCTTTTCTGTCTCAAGATATAAAGACACTAATTTTTAAATACTATTGCATGTATGCATGATGGTTTTACTTGAAAATGCAAATA